CCAAGTAGACTCGGACATACATGACTTGGTTAGGGAGTTAAGGGATCTCCTTCTCACCTGCAAGCCAGGGCATGCCCAGGAACCATCTAGAATCACCTGCATATGGACTCCAGACTGCTACAAACCCCTGCATGAGATAAGCGCAAAGGCTGAACCCACAAGAGAAGGGGGAAGCTGGTTTAGGGCCCGGGGCTCAGGAAGGCACCCCAAGATGGTGCAAGGGGAGGGGCTGGTGGAATGGATACCAGCCCTCACCACTCAGGCTCAGCAGACGAGCTCTGCTCTCCTGAGGTCCTCCGCACACGCGGGGTGTGGCCGGCCTCTGGCCGGGTGGCGGGGAAGCTGTCCACCTCCGCGTCCCTCACCCCTTGCTAAGCACCCGCGCATCTTTTCAGGGAGCGCCTGAATATCCTGCGGGTTGTGCGCTGCCCCCCGCACTGACCTCCCTAGGTTTTTGGCCAGGAGGAACAGGCGGCTTTTACCCTCTGTGAGAGCCAGCACAGTGTGGGCCCGCGCCCCTCACACGGCGCCCCCCGCTCTGAGGGAGGCTGCCAAGCCTGGTCGGCCCCTCGTAGGGAGCCGCAAAGCAGGTTTCCCAGCTCTGTCAACTAGATACTTCCCGACACCCTGGGCCTGGCCAGCACCCACCAGGGGCCAGTCACCTCCAACCAACCTGAGCTGCCAATCACGCCCACCCGCCGGCCAGCCGGCCAGGGCGCGAGGTGCCGACGCCCAGGAGCACGGCCGGGGAAGGTGCCCGTCGCAGCTTCTGCCCCAGCAGGTCCGCGCCTGCAGTCATTTAAAAAATAAGGGCAGCTCCCAAGGGCAGGGCTTTTGAGCCTGCCAACGCTGCCTCAGCGGGCCAGCCTGTCCGAGCTCTCAGCTTCGGGAGGCAGCTCTGGCTTCAGAGTGCCTTTAAGTGAGCCAAAGCGCAGGCCTGCACGGCTGCGAAGGCTCCGAGGGCGGTGGGGAGCCGAAGGTAACCACCAGGTAACCACCAGGGTCTCTCTCTGTTTCAGAGGCCCCCTCCCCCAGGAAGCTGCGCAGTGACGTGCCAGGTACCCTGACCCCTCCGCGCACGTGTGTGGCACTTGGCTTCCATTTCTTCCTGCCCAGCGCGCCCGCTCCCCCCCCCTTGCAAGTTTCCTTGAGATTCCTGCAAAGTCAGAAGAGGCTGGGAGAGCTCAGGCCAAACTGCCCTTCGCCCAGGGGACGCTGACGCAGGCCCCTCACCTCCAGACACTTTCTACACCGACCCCGTCCACGCCCCGCCCCCCCACCGCCCGCCGCTTGGGCTTGTGACATGGCAGCGAGTGTACCCTCGTCCGTGTGTGGGGACGGGGTTGTTCTTACCAGAGAGGGGGGGTGCTGTCACTGTCTGGAGCCCGGCTGTGCTGTCCACCCCACTGCCGGGCGTGTTTCTGGAGAGCAGCTTCTCTCTGGCCGGGTGGGGTCACCGGTCAGAATGAAGAGGGTGCAGGGCCATGGTAACTGCCTTCAGCTGCTGTGCCCCACAGGTGGCTTCCACAAGCCCGCCGCAGACCACGTGAGCGCTCCCCCTCGTCTTGAGAGAGCTGGGGCCCAGCCGCTGCCTGCACCTCTGTGCACAAGGTGGACGCGGCCGCTGAAGAGCCTTTCCCAGTGGCGTCCCGGGCACACACCCATGACAGGGGGCGGAGAGCCTGGTTCGAAGCGCACAGGTCCTTTGCAAGGCAGTTACGAGGCCCCGACTTCCCTGGGACACTAACCTTTTCCCTCTGTGAAGTTAGGCAGCTGGGCCTGATCCGTCTCTTGTCCTCCAAAGAGGGCCGAGCAAACCCTGGTGTGGGTCCACCTTCTCTTTTGGAGGAGAAGATGGACAGCTTTGCTGTCGCTACCCAAATACTTAAAGCTGGATGAGGTCTTGGCAGGGAGCGCTCAAGCAGGACTCCTGCCAGCTCGCTGGCATCTCAGGACAAGCAGAACACGAGGGATGGCCGGAGCCGGGGCCCCGTGGTTCCTGGGCCTCCTCTTGAGGCAGCAGGTGCCATTCTCCTGTGCCGACTGCTGTGGGGTCAGACGTGCCTGGGCTAAGCTGAGCCCAGAACAGTCCAAATTCTCAGGGCTCACACCCTTTGAGACGGTCTTAGAGGGGCAGCTTACTTCCTGTAACAGATACAGCCATTGTCAACCTTTGCCACCTGAGCCGATCAGACAGGCTCTGGGGGGATTCGTTGGCTTCCTTCTAAGCTTTATTTGCTTCCTAGATCAGGGGTGCCCATTTCTCAGCTGCCTTGTTCCCATTAGCAAACAACCTTTCCACCCGGGAGAGTGGCTGGCTGGAGCGCTGGGGTGTGGGAGCTGTGTTCCAACCCCAGGCCAGCCCTCCAGGGCTTAGCAGAGATGGTGGGCAGTGTAGCACACTCCTCTAACCCAATTTCTTGGCACTGATAAAGAACAAGACTTTCTGACGTGACTGCTAGAGACAGAGACAGAGTGCTCCCAAGGCAGCTGGGGGCTAGGAGTTCCCTCTGAAGCCAGTTAGGCTGGCCTGGGCCTTAGCTGGGAGTGGTTGCAACTTTAAGTATTTATTCCTGATCACTGCACCTTAGGAAATGCCATCTCGCCTGGGCCCGTCCCGAGACCCCAGAGGCCCAGCTGGGATTCCCCTTGTCAGTGATCAGGAATCTGGGCTTGCTGATGCCTGCAGTCTTACCTGTCTGACTGTTCCTTGTGACTAAAGCCTCGGTCACCGGGGGCTGGGGGGTCTCACTTTCCCATCTGGCCTGTGTGGTGAACAGGTGGTCTCTGGTACCAAGCCTGCTGTCTTCTTTGACCTTCTAAATGAGTGAAGAACTGTCCTCTGACTCAGGTCACATAGTTCTGTGTTGGGGTCATGAGACTTTCCTTCCCAACAGGGGCAGTTAGCGCACAGGCTGCCTTCTCCTGCCCCAAGCTCATTTAAGCGACGGGGCAGGACCCACAGGTAACTCCCTTAGGAGCCCAGAGAGGAGACAGGGGCAGGAAGGACAGAGAAAGGGGTGTCCTACAACAAAGGGGTGTCCTACAACAAAGACACACCGGAGCGACGCCCCACTTAGCTTTCCTGATCGTCAATGAGCACTTAATGCTCCCCTGGTAACGCCCCCTGGAGCAAACGCCAACCCCCGGCTGTGGGCGCCTCTCTGGCCTCCTGGGCCACCCCCTCCCCAGCACTGCCTGACTTCGTGGCACTGTGTCCCCCCTTCCTTCCTCCTAAGGCGGTGCGGCGTGCTCTCCTCCCTACCCGTCCCTGACCCCAGCGCCATCTACCTTTTTTCTTCTCTACACAAAAGCCCACAGCAGACCAGTCAGAACCTAGGGGGGCTCAGGACACAACCGAGCTGGACCTTCTTTAAAGCAGACAATCTAGCTTGAACGCCCCCTGCCCACTCCTGCTGACTGAACGCACTTACCGTGGAGCCAGAGGTCAGGCAGACTTCGGCCTAATACCTGCATCTTGTCTGTGTTTGGTTTCTGCCCCTTCTGGCCTCTCTTCCAACCTCGACGACGCTACCTTTACTTAAGTAACCTGAGCTTTCTTCAAACCTACAGGCGCGGCAACGAGAGCTCTCTTGTTCCCTCCAGAAGGTCTGGGGGACGCAGAGTGATTGAAAACGCGGATGGGTCTGAGGAGGAGATGGATGCTCGCGACGCAGACTTCAATGGCACCAAAGCCAGTGAATAAACCACCTGCCACGGCGTGACCGTGGCAGGAAAACGTGGAACCAAACCAGGCCAATGGACTCTCAGCCCTGTCTGAATCCATTTGCAAATTCTAGGCATCACAGACATCCCTCACCATGAGCACAGAGAACCCTGCCCTGTGTTCGGGGCGTCCATTGGAGTCGTGAAGGCTGTACCCAGCGAGAAGACCCACCAGGAGACCCCCCCACCCACCCCCAAGGATCCCACTGAATTGCGCTGAGATTGAGTCATTAGGAAACTATACCCATGGTAACAAGTCACTGGCAACTTAGTTTACATGAAATGGGGAGAAAGCCACCGGAGCGGGTGCCACGCCCCCCACTCCAAGCCACTGCTTGGGCTGCGTGGCGGCCCAGCTCCCCAGCAGGCCCTGGTGTGGGGATTCTCCCTCCTGGTTCCCACACCTCCGACACACAGTTCACCCGAACGAGTGCCTTCTGCAGTCACATGAATTCAAGGCAGACGCTGCTCCCATGGAAGAGCAGGAACGGTACACTGTCTGATATACACCCCGAGCCCACGTACCCGAGGACACTGTCACAAATAAAAGGCTGTCAATCACTAGAACGGTGTCGGATTCTCTGTCAAGTGCTTCTCCCGGAGCAAAAGGAACGGGGCGTTCTCCTGTAATCCTCACAGCGACCCACAAAGTCAGGGTTCTTCTATCCCCAGCAGGGAAACTGAAGCCCAGGAGGGAGGGACCCCGCAGCTGCCAAAGAGGTCCAGTGCTCAGTGTGTGTGCAGGGCGGCCGCAGGCCCCAGGGGTACACGCACCCTCATAGTCAAGACCCAAGGGGATCTAGCATGAAGACGGCGAGACCCCCGTGACCCTCTAAGTTAAAACGCAAGCTCTTAAAAAAAAAGCTCAGCCTAGCGGGAGTCACCAAACATCTCCTGTAACAATCAAAGAGCAAATATTTCCGGCGCGGTGGGCTCCCCGGGGCCCCTCCCCGGGGCCTAAGCACATGCTTAGCCCGCGGGCTGGCCAGAGAGGCCCTCGGCTCCAGCGTGCGTGCGCGGCGAGTCCTCGTGGAGGCTGAGTCCACACCGGCCGTGCCAGGTGGTGACCCCGTGAGGCAAAAGACGTTTGTAGGAAACGGGGAAACTTTGCGGACTCACCTGAATGACAACACACGTCTCCCAGACACAGTCCTGGGCGGCTGGTCGGATAGGAGCTGGGTTACTTGGTCAGGAAACCAACAAGGTTCCCACGTGAGCAAATACAGAAACAAGCCCCCAGAGAAGCAATTACTGACCGACAGACAAGCTGCACGCTCATTTCTCCTGATTTTATTGTTCTTTTAGAAAAATAAAGGTACATCTTTTACGGAGAGGTTAGGGTGTTTCTAGGCAGAGAATTGGGCCCTGAAGTTTGACTCTGCCACATGGCCGTGGCCTCTGGCGCGTTTCCATCACGAGGGTACTTTTGCTGTTCTTTCAGAAAAGTAGCTCAGGGCCAGACGGCAGGCCTGCTCCTCGGCGGTATGTCTACCCCATGCAGACGCAGCCCTGGCGCCGCCAGTCCTGGGTCCTTCTCTCCTCCGACAGGCGTCCAGCCTGGTGTGTTCATCTGATTTGACGGCCGCCCCGACTACTTCCCTACGGCTCTGAGTGAAGCACTATTCTGAAGGGTGGTGACGCCTCCCCCATGACCTCGGGTCATGTATGGGAGGTCTCCCCCACAGTAGGGGGCTACAGAGAGGACTGCTGACAGTGGACTGACCTAAGGACCCAGATTCTTCCATTCCTTGGTCAACACGACATTCACCCTGAAGCAGCTTTAAAGACCTGAATGAGGCAGATAAAGTCTCACAGGCTGACGACACCACAGTATAAAAAGAAGGCACTGGCCCATCCTATTCTCTGCTCCTAGACGTGATCGAGCTCGCCCATCACTGCTGGGCCATAGGGCACCGGGAGGCTTTATTCTGGGAGGCAGTTCCAGCGGGGTGCGGTGGGGTTAGGCTCAGATCCCACTTCGGAGGCATCTCCCAAATTCAGAACAACGCTCAAGTCCCGTAGCTGAGTTCAAAATGGTGGCGCGGCTCGGCACCCACCTTAGGGCCCTCCCAGAAGACCCGGCTTGTCCCTTTCTATTTGCAACACACCAGGAAGGAGGCCCGGGGTGGGGAGACATTCCACAGGTCAACCACCGGCGGGCCAGGACGTGGTCTCGGTCACTGGCCAGTGTGACTGCTTGCTCGGAACTCTTAAACTACCTTAGAAAATAAAGGGGGGAAAAAAACAACCCAAACACCAAAGCCCTAGTAGCTTCTAGAGAGGAAGAAAGGCGGCGAGTCCCACACCGACACCAGGGCTCCGGCTTTTTCCTAAAGTAACATCCTGACTACACCCTGACCGACGGCAGCGAAGGCGAAGAAGTATTTGCAGGCGGCTTCCCAAATTCCAGGCGTCTCCCCAACCTTCAGACAGAGCAAACCAAGTTAAGCGGACATTAAGCTGGGACACACGGCTAGCCGCACCGCGGGGCCCACAAAGTCACAGGAGTGGAACGGGGGTCGGGAGCTGGGTCTCAATTTTCTCTCCTGTGAAATGAAGAAAATGACACTGGCTAGCTAGCGCCTGCCTGCCAGGCCACACGCAGCCCCGTCTCTGAAGACCTTCTAGAAACATCCGCGGCCAGAGGTCCAGGAGCTCCATGCAGGCCGCGGAGGATGACTCCGCTTCCCACCCTGTCTGCCTGTCTCCACAGACCCACCGCGGGACGGTGGCACTTCTCAGAAAACGCCCGGGCCTGGGAGCCGCCCTGAGCTTCCTCCGGCAAGCACATGACCGGGGCTGCGAGAGGCAGGTCTGTGCTTTTCATCCGGTGGCTGGTCGGCGGCACCTTGCCTGGCTGGAATTCAGACCCAGCTTCCTGAAGGGGGCCAGTCTTTCCCCCTCGTCTAAGGGCAGCAGAGTAGTGTTTAGACAGGATATCCAGACAGCACAACAGGAGTCGGGCTGGAGAATCAATAAAAACCACCACCTCCTTGGCCACCTGCTCACAACAGAAGCCACCACCTGCCTGACTCGGGACATGGGCGAGGGGGGGGTGTGTGTGGATGAGGTTCGCAGACAACCCTGCAACCTTTAAGCGGCAGCTTTTGGTCGGGGGCACGAGGCTCCCGCCCACCCAGCAGGTAACGTTGGGTTTTCCCAATGCCCAGGCAGAAGAGCAAGAGATACTGACCCTTTGTCACCCAGAGGCACGCTGGCGCTGCCTGGCCGTCGGTCGCCGCCGTCTCTGCTCTTGCCGCCCCTCCCGGAGGCCGGGCCGCTCGTTCGGTTCGGGGACTGATCATAGACAAAGTTCCGGCAAGATGCGAGTTTGGACTCCAGCGCCTGGAGAGAAAGAGGCTTTCATCTCTCAAGTGAAGACGGATCTCTGCTCTCCCGGAGCCAGCACTCAGCACCGCGGTTCCCAGACTGGCAGGCGTCAGAACTCTATGGGGGCCCAGTGGAGTCTGGTGCACGTGCAGGTCTGAGAACTGCCGGCCTGAGATGCTTAGGGGTGCTGCCTATTACCTGGGTCCAGATGTCACACACACCTCTGGAGTCTTTCACTCTTGCCCCAGCAAGGGTGTGGGCTGGGGCAGTGACTTTGCCCCGAGGTCACCTGTCCCTGCAGTAGCCCAAGGGCACTGTGGGACCTGGGACATCACTCTCCCCTCACTGTGCTGACCTCCGAGACAGACCTGTGTTCACCTAACAGAAAACCAGACGACCCGAAGCCTAAAGACAGAACATAGGAGATGAGTGGCAAGTTCCTTTGAAGTCACAGCTCGGAATGTCTGGGTCCCAGGCACTGGCAGGATTTAAATTATGTGGTGTTCCTGGCATCAATTTCACAAATGAAGAATGAGTTCCAAAGAATGCCCATGTCATTTCTTAAGCACACGAGAACGCTTCCCTGTAATTAATATAAAGCCTGTATGGTCAAGTTCTTTGCCCTGGCAGCTCAAGATTTCTCTCTTGAACTCCCTGAGGATTAAGAGAAAAGGCAATTTTCAATGTCTGTCGAGACCAAAGACAACATCGAAATCCTCAAAAAGCAAAGCAAAACCGACCAGGAAAGGAGGTACCCAGGGGTCAATGGAGTGACTTGGGTTCGGGGCGTGGGGTGTCTATTATCACAGGGCCTCTTGGCTCAGGATTGCAAATGGTCCCAAGGGCCTTTCTGAGCCACACCAAGAACCCCACAAGTCCCAGCTGGAGGGAAAGTTCTGGTGTGGCTCCCCCTAGCCCACACCCCCGCCTCTGAAAGACGGACAGGAAGCCCCAGGGAAGACCAGACTTACCCCGACTTTCCGCAGCAGGTCTCCCACGATGTTGAGGGCCGATATCCGGGCTGCAGGGGTAAGGGGGGTCCCCCCTGCAGAGTCCTCCAGACCTGGGTGTGCAAAGAGATGCACAGGTGACACCAGCCCACAGCTGAAGGAGTTTGGTGGGTGGTGGGAGGACCTGATGGCTTCCCTTTGCTTCTAGAAGCTGCCCGCTGCCGTCAGAGTTGCTGTCTGGGCCCTCCCTGGTGGCGCAACGGTTTTAAAGCGCAGCACTATGAAGCAACTGCAGCCACTGCAGCACAAGTTTGATCCCTGTCTAGGAAGCTGACCCACATGGTGCAAGCAGACCCCTCCTGTCTCCCTGCTGCTCCCCTCAGCAGAGTATTTCACTGCCTGTTCTGCTCCCCACTCTGTCTCTGATGAGTCCTCCACCCCCACCCCCTCTGGCTAGTACCCCAGTTCTCTATGCATAAATAAATCTTTAAAAAAAGTCACTGCCCCGACACAAGAGTCCCTTTGATGACCCATTTTTGCAGGCTCACAACTACAGTATTTCTCTTGGCAGGCAGTTCTTTTTGAACAAAATCAAAACAAGCCCTGTAGCAACGCTCGTTATCACAGACTATTGGACAAAGACAGCATCTCGGCAGGCCAAGCTGGAGCTAGGCTCGGCCAAGCCTCGTTCCTCCCGGTGGTGCCAGCATCGCCTGGGCCCTTGTTGGAGAGGCGGGGCCTCGGTCCTGCCCAGGTCTGCCGAATCCACAGTACGTGCTACCAGGTGCCCAGCTAAGACAAAAGCTCTATTCTGACCACAGGCCCAAGACACAAGGCAGGCAGGTGCCGGCCTGGCGGATGGACGAGACCGGACAACATACAGCCGCTGACAGCAGGTCGGGACTCAGCGCAGGCAGGCAGGACCCGGGGCTCCCACCGCCACCCACGCTTTGTCCCTTAGCCCGTGTCTGGGACGAAGAGCTGCCCTGCCCCACCAGCACCCCAGTTTGCCCCCTGCTGTGATGCAAAGACCAGTTTCTCTCTTGCCCGCAATCCACTCTGATTCTCACCTGGGAGAGCTTTGTGAGGTGAAGAAGATCCCCCCGATTCCCTCTCCCCTCACCTCTCCTGAAGGTGGCCGGTGTGTTGACGCTGGAGCTGGGGCCTCGGTGCGCGGTGGGCGTGGACGGCACGGAGCCAGTGGCCTGCACGGCCGTGTCTATCCTTTCCGCTTCCGCCGAGCTGGGCATGGGGGTCCTGGGCTTGTCCTGCTTCTGCTGCACAGCCAGCTCCTGCCGCAAGTCTGGGCCAGGTAAGGGTCCACGTGAAGTCCTTGTTTTGAGTAATGGGGTGGGGCGGAGGGGCTGCCGACATGGTCGGGGAAGCACTACCAGCTGAAGGCCCCAGGGGCAAACCCCGAATGAAGGGGAACCCGCCAGACCTCCCTCATTGGACCTGGCAGGCTTGAAAAATGACCCCCTTTCTCTTTTGAGTAAAAAGCAAAAAGTTTTAAGAAATGTCTAAACTGTAAGAGACACAGCCACACTTCTGTTAAAAGAAAAAAAAACCTACCCGGAAGGTGTGTAGAACCCTGAGAGAAAAAAAAAACACTCTCTCCCGACACCCCAAATGCCCCTCCTCACCGGCCCCACTCCTGCACACGGAGACCTTTTCAAGCAGTTTTTGTGTTGGCCTCCGGAGCTCGTGGCTGATTTTCATTAGGCAGAAATGAAACACAAGTGGACAGTGGCCAATCTGTGTCCATGCGTGTCTGACTACTGTCCTGTGACTGACACACCTGCCTCCTGTTCAACGTGTCATACCCCACAAAAGTCCGTGAGGGTCACATAACCACTTCAATACTGATGGACATTCAGGAACCAAAGTTTTTTCTTTTGAATCCCTCCCTGCTGGCTACACCTCAGGAACCCAACTAATGTTTTACACAATTAACTGAGGCCTAAAAAAAAAAAAAAAAATCAATCTCCTGTCGCTAAGAAAGTTCTCACCAGAAGAAAAAACTTGTGCAGCTATGTGTGGGGTGGACGGTAACTACAGACTGGGGTGATCCCTTCGCTGTAACAGACACAGCTATGGAATCGTCATGCCTCTACCTGAAACATACAATGTTACGTCAGGTACTTTAAGAAGGGCCGTATCTGCGAACATGGACCATTCTGGGACGCAGCCGGAGTGCAGATACACAAGGACAAAAAGATATTTCTCAGAGTACTAATTGTTCATGACACTGACAACGGTGGAGGAAATTCTCTTCTGCACCCAAGCTGGGCGATGCACCACCGTCCTGTCCCCTCTGGAACCGCCAGGCTCCCAGAGCGAGATGCGGGACTGTGGAGTTCTAAGACAGACAGGTCAGCTGCCATCAGTCACGGCCATCACGGCTCACTAGCCACTTCCTCAATAGCCACTTCCTCCCTCCAAAATGCCTGTGTTCTTTCTGAACACAAAGCTGGCTCAGGATTAAAACAGGCACGAGGGGTTTGACAGGCTGGATGCGATCTTTCTCCACCCAGGGCAGGGACAAGGGCCAGGGCCTGCTGGGTGTGGCCCCACGGCCTCTGAACATAGCCCCCGTGCAGACCTCCAGCAGAGGAAGTGCTGGGCCGGCTAGGACAGGACGTTCCCAGCAGGCGAGAGGACACCGCTGGTGGGACACACAGAACACAGCAAGACCTCCTGACCTCTGGCTTCATCCTTCAGCCGCTGCACAGACTCTAAGAGGTTCTCCTTCTCGTCCAGCTCGCTCTCCAAGAAAGCGTTTCTCTCAATGGCTTGATTCAAGCGCTGCTCAAAGTCTTCCAGAGACATGATTGTAGCCCTGCGTAAGAGGCAAACAGAGCTGTCAGCCCAGAGACTTGGGGGAAGGGTGGGGGAAAAGGGCGCGAGCCCCACACGGCACATCAGATCACCACAGCCTGAGCGGCCCTTACCCCACCACCAGGCGCTCCACCTGCAGAGTGGGACTGCCCCAGCTCAGGAGGAGCATGAGGCCTGCTGAGGATTAAGGGGAGGGTGCCCACAGGGCATTTGGCAATGAGGCTTATTAGACCACCGTCAGTGCACTGCCTAGGTCTGCAGGCATCTTCTTCGGGTGGAGACTCCCTGGCCATCTAATTAAGCGCACGCACGGTGCGGCTGCAACAGCTGAAGCAGCAGAGACCGCACCTTTAATCTCCCAGTTACTGCAGAAACTATGAAAAGTTCAGCATGCTCAGCCCCAGCTCCAGCGCCCTGTTAAACCACTACTTCTCGGGAACCATGGAGACATTTCCCTGGAAGGCACTGAGAAGCGCTGTAACACAGAGGTTTCCTCCTATGTCGAGCGGGGTAGTAACAGGCCCTACGCTAGGCAGAGGTGGGTGGGGAGGGCTTATACCCAAACACACCACAGGTAAATGTCAGCAGTTTTCATTCCTGACCCTGTGTGTGTCTCCAGAAGATCTCCAACAGCTGCTAACTGCTTCTCTGGGTGGTTGGCAGCAGGTCTGGGGTGCAATCCAGGAGTCAGCACCTGACCTCCCTGGGAGATCAGCTAAGGGCCCTTGGACAGCTCCAGTCCTTCCCCAGCAAGCGAAGAGTAATGGCCTCACTTATTCAACACATTATTATATTAGGAACCTCAAGGTCACTCAGAAGTGCACCTACTTTTCACCTGTTAGACTGGCAGAAATCCAAAGTTTGGAAACTTTGAAGTTATTTGGAAAACAGACTTACGTATTTGTTGAAAATGCCTCTATACAGAGAACTGAGCAAGAGCTATCAACATCACACATGCATACATCCTTTGGCCTGGCTTCTGGAAATTTGTTCTATAAATCTGCATCTATGTGAGCAATGCTCTCACACCCATCACAGTCATGCTGAGCTCTGCCAAGTAACGGGACGCTGCACATACATCCAGAGGAGGCTAAACAGTGCAGCACCAACTGCACCGTATTATGCATGTGGGGGGAAGAACAAACAGTGCTCTGTGTCTTATAGCAGAAAGAAGTCCAAGATCTATTGTTGCGTGAAAGTACAATGCTGTGTAAAGAACGCACTTTTGTGGAGGAGGGAGGAGAAAAAGAGGGGCTTTACATAAATTTCTACTTGCTTGATTTGCATAAGAAGCCTTACCCCTTTGTGTATTGTTTTTGATACCACACGACTACTTCTCTGCAGCACAATTCTTCTCTCCCTGCATCCACAACCTTGTGGTGGTCTCTATCTCCCACCCATTGACAGGTCCGAGTGACTTGTAGAGATCAATAATACATTGACAAGTCAATGGCCAGTCAGAAATCAGAACTTACTATAAAGCCACAGTAATCAAGTGATTATGGTTCTGGTATAGGATTTCACTGCACCAAACACAGAATCTAGATTGGTTGACATATGACAGAGTTTAGTTCGATTCACTGAAAAATAGGTGGAGTATTTAATAAATAGTGCTGGCACCAATTGGTTATATTGACCAGTGAAAGTCAAATTGAAGCCATACTTCACACTAGAGAACAAAAATGACTTCAGGTAGATTAAAGGCATATGTGTAAGATAATTGAGCAATAGAAAAGATACTTGCAAGGAAAATGTAAGAAAATCTCTGTGCTTCAAAGGATGGTAATTTCCCTAAGTAAGTCTAGAGACCTAAAAGCTATGAAAGGCCCACCCTGGTGGTGCAAGGGTTAAAGCACAGCACCAGGAAGTGATCCCCAGCCAGAGAGGTGACCCGCATGGCACCGCAGACCTCTCCTATCTCCTCCATGCTCCCCCTCAGCCCTGGATTTTAGCCAGTCTGTCTGCTCTGCTCCTCACTCTGTCTCTGGTGAAACCTCTCACTCCCGCACCTCTAGTGTGTACCCCAGTTCTTGCATAAATAAATAAATCATAAAAAAAAGGAGACATAACTGATGACCTAAAAATGAAAATTGTAAGGAAAATGATACCAAAGTCAACAGACAACAGATATTCTGTAAAAGCTATTTTCAACACAGGACAAAAGACAAAGACTGTAGCAAAAATATACAAAGAGCTCTTACAAAATGACTAGAAAGGAGAGTCCACGTCTGGCCATGACAAAGCAGCTTGCATCAGTCCAAAACGCCTATCGGTTACAACTACAGACTCCGGGTTAGACATGAAAGACAATTACCTGAAGGTCTGGCAAAAACTAGAAGGGAGACAACACTCGGATGAAGGGAGCAGTATGGGGTGAATTTTGCATCTCAGAAGCTTGTTACAGCTTCAGTGACAGAAATTCATCACCACAGGAACGTCCCAGCATCCCGTTACGCCTCTCTGGCTGACCCCTAAACCATGTGTGTGGGCAGACTTGATGCAGCCCAGGAAAGACAAAATGAGTGGAATCGTTCTCAGCTACTGCCCATCAAGAGGAGTGAGTTTGGCTAAGTTAACAGACAAAAGCAACAATGTAACATCACCCATAATGTCCAGAATATCACCCCAAATTTCTAGACACTCACAGAGCAAGGAAAAGGTGAGGCAAACTCAGTAGAAAAGGCCAAACCAACCTGAGATGGGCCAGAAAATGGAATGAGCAGAAAAGGACTTTTAAAAAATAACTATGCTCAGGACGTAAAGAAAGAAACCTCCAAAGGACAAGTTATTACTATTTTTTTAAATACAGAAAATATGATGGCATCTAGACTAAAACAGTGGAGCTGGTTTAACAGCAGACTGAAAGAGGGAGGAGGCATCAATGAGCTTGAAACTATCAAAATAGAAACTATCCAATGCGAGACAGCGAAAGACATAAGGGCTATTCCGAGGGTTCCATCAAGTCGAGGATAGAGGAAACGGAGGCTGCAAGGTGGTGCGACACTACCTGAGCAGGGAAAGCGAGCAGCGAGGGCAGAGGCCATGTCAAGGCTGCTCGAGGGGCGGAGTGAGGGTTCCAGGAGCAGAAGCATTTGATGAGCGGCAGACTGAAGAGGTAAGCAGGCCACTCTGTGTAAGTTACAGCCCAACACTCTGTAAGCCCAAGTCTGGCTCAGGGTAACTATCCAATAAATACAGAACATGTGGTCAAGAAATACCGCTGAAGGGGTGTGGCTTTCCATCCTCTGCCCCAGACGCTCTCTCTTGCTCTCCCCTGGCGCATGCTATGCAGCCCTACCTCTTAGCCTAAATGGCATTTCCTCTGGGCAACCTTGCCATGACACCCTCCCCACCAAGAGCGAGGTGAACACCTCTATCGCATGCCCCTGGCTTCCTGGACTTGTGCGTGCCACGGCTGCAAGCAAGTGGCACCTCTTCCTCTGAGCCAGCAGGCTCCCCCGGGACCCTGGCCTGGGGGCTCGCTGCTCAGCGTGCCCCATGCTCAGCGTGGGGCGGGTACCCAGCCGCAGGGGCAGAGTGGGGACCAGAGGCTGCAAGTCCTGCCTCCTCCTTCCCAGCTGACCGTTTGGCTCGTTCCAAGTCGTCGTTGGCTTGCTCCAGTTCTCTGATGTACTTCTGCAGTTGGTCTTTGATGGCTTTTGTCTGGGCTAGGTCATCCTCGAGGGCTGAGATCTGCCGGTAGCCCTCCGAATGCTGCGTCTCAAACTTCTCCTGAAAGACAAAATCCCAGTGAGGGAAGGACTGACGACACGCCCAGCTGTGTCTCTCTCCCGCCACCTCCTTAAATGCTCAGGTCCTTCCTGGCTCGAAGGTCTCCTATTGAGGCGACCACTTCTCTTCTCACACCCCGCTTGCACCCTCGGCATTGTCAAGGGAGACTTCTTTTCCTAACAGTAGGGTCTTTGTGGGACCAGTCTCCCACCACACTTGCCAGGGAGGCTGCAGGCCTCCTCCCCACAGCCACAGCAAGCCTGAGCTCACTTCACGAGACTGCTCTCACAGACGTGCCTCAAGGTGGCCTGTCCTGAGCGCCTCCAGCATCCTGTCCCCTCCCCAACCAACAGCCTCTGGCTGTTCAAGAAGTCCCAACACTCTCCAGAGAAGTCATTTTGCTCAAGGAGTGCACAGCCACGGAAAGCCACAGAAACCTCCCTAGCTTTGTCTAGCAGAGCAACCTGAACCCAGGCCCAGTGCCATGCCTGGCGGGCGAGACATCAGGAGTCAGATGCTGGTGACATCTGACTCCCAGGAGCAGGGCCTCGGAGAAGAGATGACAACCACTCTGGTCTGGCCCAGGAGCAAGCCCTGCAGCACAGACACTTGGGAGGGGCTTTTAGACCTCTGGGGAAAGGCAGGAGAAAAAAAGAAACCCAGAGAAAGAAAGCCTGTTGCTAATTTCCAAAAAAGCTAGGTGAGGCCTGAGTCTGCTTCCCAAAGGCACAGACCAGTCCAGTGGGCTCCTGGACCACCCTCAATGGCCCAACCACAGCTGCCGCCCTGGTGGCCGCTCCCTGCCCGTCCAGAGATGTGGGCACTGAGGCTCAGTCACTCAGCAGAGTCCACTGTGTCAAGACAAATCCAGGCCAACCAGGCCATGCTCTGAGCTCAACAAAGCCAGGCTGTAAAGCTGTCTGGCTCACCACACTCATGCTCCACACTCCCCAGTCCCATCATGGTTCAGATGCCGTGCGTGTGTGCACACACACACACCATCTCTCTCACAGACTCACACACACACCATCTCTCTCACAGACTCACACACACACACCATCTCTCTCACAGACTCACACAC